GAATTAGTCAGAATTGCTTTATAAACATGAATAGCACTATTATTTTACTACAGAAGTAAGAGATGTAAATTATTTTGAAATTAGGAGAAAAGATACCCCAAATTAGAAATTCTTCTTTATGTATAATTCAAACGCCAAGATAATATTGCTATTAACAGTTTTATTTACTTCCAGCTTGTTTTATCATTATACATATACTTTGCCATCTGTCAATACTTTAAAACGTAATTTGTATCAGGTTATACAAAGTCTCAGAAATCTCTATAGATTTTTACAAATATAAATCTTAAAACTCTCTAGGACCTACGTTCTTCATATTTTGCAACATGTACATCGATAGCAACATTCAGTACTAGCACCAGATTCAAATGCATTGCCTACCATTGTCTGGCGAGAGCGTGATTTATCCTCCCGATGCCTATTGCGGAACATTTCGATGTTTTCCACTATTATTCACATGGCTCTTATCGACATCCTCATGGATGTCTTTTCCCCCCTTGCTGCATCATTTCCTTGGATGGGACTAGAATGGTTTGGGTGAAAGGAAATGAGTTTTTAAGGCTTGTCACACATGAACTTGGCATCCAGCAAGGTTGCAGAGAAAGGGATGCTTGGGTGCTCTGTGAACTTTTCATTGTGTTCATATCCCACAATGTTTGCAAATGCCCTGACAAGCAGACTGCCCTCATCAAAGCCAGTTATTACCACTGGCTTATGACAACCGCAATGAAACAATGGTCATAATGGAAATGGTTCCCTGCGAAGCCACTGGAAGGCTGACATAATTGCGGGGCGTGTGGGGCGGCTCCCGTCCTGCTCAAGTTGTGGGTCAAGTCGAGGACACACTTCGGTTTTGCTGCTATAAGTCTTTCAGCACTAATTCGGTCAATACAAATACACTCTGTTCCAACAGTGTGGATTCCTGGTGCACAGAAAGCTAGAATTAGGTGGGATTTGGGGGTGGGAGGGAATGTTTGAAATGTGGTCAGTATCGTGGTTTCTTCGTGACAAGGGTGAAACTTGAGACACTTATGCGAGTGATGAGGACACAACCAAGACCTCAAGCAGGGTTTTGATCGTGTATTTTCAAATTATCTGGTGAAGAAATTTGCATGTATCTGTTTGTTTTCCTTTGTTCATAAATATGTTTCATTCACAATATCTTTTAAGAAAGCTACTTTGATCCTGAAGGAAAGAGTAAATGAGGTGCTCTTAAAAAAGAGAGAGCCCTGGCCAGTTTGGCTCAGCGGTTAGAGCATTGGCCCACAGACCAGAGAGTCCCGGGTTCGGTTCCCACTAAGGGCATATACCTCAGTTGCAGTTTGTCCCCGGCCCCGGTTGGGGTTGTGGGGGTAGCAACCACTCAATGTGTCTCTCTCACATTGATGTTTCTCTCTCTCTCTTCCTCCCTCTCTCCCTCCCGCTCTATCTGACAATAAATGCAAAAATGTCCCGGGTGATGTTTAAAAAAAATAAAATAAAATAATAAAAAAAGAGAGAAGGATGAGAAAGAGGCAATTTGATTTCATACGTTTGATCTCTCATTGCTTTCACTACAAAATGCACCAGCATGGGGGGTCCTCCCATTTTGCTGTCCCAAGAGGGGAAGTGGAGGGGAAAGAGAACTAGCTAAAATAAGTCTTGATTTGTTGACTGCCTTGGCATACAGGGGGACATATTTCAAAGAGAAATCTTATGGTTGCAGGAAACAGAAAAGCCCATACAAACTGGTTTAAATAATAAAGGAAATGTTACAAAAAGTCCAGATCCTGGTGAAGCTTGACCAGTCACCAAGGCACCATGAGATAACTTTTTCTTTGATTCTCCTCTCTGCCTTCCCAGATCTTTTTTAGCTGGAGGATGGTTTGCCTCATGGTCACAGAATGGCTGCCAGCAACTCCCAGGAATGTTCATAGCAACTCCCATGAATGTTCTGCTCCTCTGATCGTAGTCAATGAGAAAAGAGACCTTCTCTGCCTGTGGTTCCTTCAAAGATGTAGGAATCATGCTTCCTAGAAGCCCCTGGCAAATGTCTGCTTGCATCTCATTAGCCCAGACTGGGTCACATTACCATCCCCAGACCAATCACTATGATGAGAGATGGGCTCTGCTGTTTGGTTTCAGCCATTCAGGACCCCGTGGTACCTCTGGTGCTGGTACCATGAGTATCTCCCAAGGTGCAAGAAGGTCTAACCAGGGAACTGGTATCAAGAGGGAGGGTGACGCCCTGGCTGGTTTGGCTCAGCGGTTAGAGAATCGGCCTGTGGACCAAAGGGTCTCGAGCTTGATTCCCAGTCAAGGGCACCGTACCTGGGTTGCAAGTTCCATCACCAGCTCTGGTAGGGGTCGTACGGAGGTAACCAATCAATGTGTCTCTCTCACCTCTCTCTCTCTCTCTCTCTCTCTCTCTCTCTCTCTCTCTCTCCCCCCCCCCTCCTTCCCTCCCACTCTATCTAAAAATCAACAGAAAAAATGTCCTCAGGTGAGGATTAACCAAAAAAAAAAGAGAGAGGTGAAGGGATATTGGGGCATGAGAAAAGCAAATATCTCTTATGTAAACCCTTTAAAAAATACTGCTGGAGCCCTGGCCGGTTTGGCTCAGCGGTTGGAGCGTCGGCCTGCGGACCAGAGAGTCCCGGGTTCAGTTCCCACTAGGCCCTAGCGGCTAGAGGCATGTACCAAAAAAAAAAATACTCCCGGAGAGCTGTACCTACCTCCTCAGAGGTCTCTCTCCACCCATTTCATCCATCCCTCAAGATGAAAAATGATAGGTTTGCCATCAATTTTCAGCCGAGGGTCCACGTTGAAACACCTTGGTGTGTTGAGATGAGCAAGATATATTACCCGTGTCATTCCTAATAATACCTAAAGAGATAAAGTTTGTCAGTGATTTCATTGTTCCACATCTAGTTGCGCTCACTCAAGGCTATCCCAGATACTTGTTTCTGTATCCTATTTACTTCATTCAGCGGGTGAGAAGGGGCTGTGATTATGAGTCTCTGGGGAACTGCCATAGACTCTCCGCCCTCCATCCGAGCTGCATGCACCAGACTGGGTGGGCCAGGCGCTGGATGGCGAGAACCACAGTCCCTTCCTCCCACAGCTGGGGCTCCAGGCGCCGCCCCAGCACCCTGCCACAGACACCCTTCACCTTTGCCACGCCTGCGCTCCTCGCCTTCACCCAAAAGGCCCAGAGAAGCAGGTGCCACTGGCCACTTTCCTTGCCTATTCGTGAGTCCTTGACTTGTCCTCACTCTTTGACCTTTAGGGTTCACATGACACCCACACCCTCAATAAAGTCCTTGTAATCGGTCTTTGTCAAACGTCGCCTGGCCACTTATTTTTTAAAGCCTTTTCTCTTCGTTTGCTATAAAACGGATTAACATGTGTTGCAGAGTGAAAGTCACATAAGCAAAGAGAAAGAAAGAAGACGCGCCATAATCCCGCCCCCAGAGCGAATCGCCGCATTTGGGGGGCTTGGCTTTCCCTGTCTTTTGATCCATGTACATCTGCATGAATCATTCTTCTATAAACAAAAAACAAAAACAGAATCATGTGACACATATTCCTTTGTGACATGGACTCCCACTCCAAAACGCAAACATCGCTGTTTATATCAGTAAATGTACTGACCCTATTGTATTGCCATTATATGTCACTGCTGCACAGTATTCTATTGTTTAGACGCAGCGTGATTATTTAAGGTGTACAGTGGCTCCCCAGAGCTTCCTCTCAGAGCAGCATCCTAGGAACAATCTGTGGATGAACCGCTGTGCCCACGCGGGGATATCCCCAGAGGATGCTCGAGAGCAGAAGAAATCTCGGATCCAAGGCAGGCACACGTGGCCAGCATTCACTGCGCATCAACAAACTATTCTTCAGAAGAGTTATCACAAAGTATTCTCCCACCAGCTTCATCTGAAAGCACCCCTTTTCCCATAATTTCCTGGCATTTCCTTTTATTAAAAAAAGAAAAAAAAAAATCCTGCCCGGCCAGTGTGGCTCAGTGGTTGAGCGTCGACCCACGCACCAAGAGGTCACCAGTTCTATTCCCGGTCAGGGCACATGCCCAGGTTGTGGGCCCGATCCCCAGTGGGGGGCATGCAGGAGGTGGCCAATCGATGTTCTCTTTCATCTATCTTTCTGTCTCTCCTCCTCACTTCCTCTCTCTCTAAAATCAATAAAGAAAAATAATGTTTAAAAATAATTTTTTTTAATCCTCATGTTGCAGGAATTAATTTCAGGCCAGGATAATCCAGATAATAGCTTTGTTATTGTTTTACCAGCCTGGTGGCTGAGAAGAGTGACTTTTATGTTAACATATAGCTAACTTTACTCTCCTCTTTCTGGTGAGCTGGTATCAGCTTCTGGGTGATGAATTTAAGTCTTGGGGGGTTTCCCCTATGGCCAGGCAAGGCAAATGAATAGAGGACAGGGAAAGAAAACCCCATGAACAATGACCTGGGTAATTCACCCATAAAATCCTGCCAGGGGGCAGCAAGAGGGAGGACAGGACATTTGCATCTTTACGTTGAGGAGACTCAGCTCTCCCAGTCTGCTGTCCAGGCCACCAACAATGACGCTTAACATTTCATTCTTTGCTTTACTTTGAAGATAATACTAATGATAGAAGCCTCCATTTTCCAAATACTTGCCATGAGTCAGGAGTTTGGCAATTAATTGAACTGTCACAAGGCAGGAATTAGTCTCCCATTCTGCTGATGAAACTGAGGCCCAGAGAGGTTTAGTAATTTGTCCAAAGTCACACAGCTGGGTCACCAGACGGAACCAGGAACAGAGCTCAGGCCTGCCGGTCCCCAAAGCCCTTGCTGCTTCCACTGTCCCCAGGGCCCCTCTTTGGTGCAGAGGAGACTGTGCTGCCCAGAACCCCTCCAACCTGACCAGACGTCTCAGGTGAACATGTGAGCCGCCTGCAGCCTGGATCCACTCGTAACTGCTGTACTAACACGTTTTTCTTTCACTTCTTGGCTTCCCATCAGGTCCCGGAGAAGCCAGTGAAGAGCATCAAGACTATTGAGAAGGAAATAATAAACCTGAAAAAAGACCTCACACGAAGCCGGTGGGTGAGCCCAGCACGGCATAACCCCGGGACAGCCTGATAGGGATGGTTGGCTATGGGGTGGTGCCTAGAAGCTCTTGCCAGGGCCCAGGGCCCCACCCCAACCCTGAACAGTATGCAGAAGACTTCCAGGAGGGTGACCCTCTGTAAGGATACATTTTCCGGTTGGCCTAGCATTCCCTCCGCTCCTTCCTGGACCTGCACCCCACTCAAGAGAGCTCCCATATGCTCCACAAATCTTTCGTTTTCACTCCAGGTCTGCAGCGTGGTAGCCAAGAGTCAGGCAGGCTCAGTCCCAGTACTGGCCCTGCAACCTGCCAGCAGGTGACCTGGAGGAGTGACTTAACCTCCTGGGTCATGTGAAATGAATATGAGAGGGGGCGGGAGGACTGGGCGAACTCAGGCAGGTGCAGTGCCCTGGTGTGGCCTGGAACCCAGTGCCGTCCGTATCCGTCCCCAGCCACCAGTTCCTCCCTCCACGAGAGTGTGAGCAAATTCAGGTCTAGGATCCTATTTGATTCATCCGCAGGGGGTGAGATGGGATTTGTTTTCCTCCCCCCTTAACTCCTTCCTGAGAGCCGGAAGGATCCAAGGTGGGACCATAAATGGGGCCATGGGTGAAGCGACTCCGGGCAGCGCAACAGGTATTCTCTCTGCACAAAATGCCCGAGGATGTGCCAGAGGGTAACGGAAGGTCTGTTCATGTTATGAGTGTCCCACTCAGGGCCAGAAGACAGCGACAATCACAGTGAGACACTTCCTCTCTTCGCTCCACCCTCTGGCAGCCCCTCCTCCCCTGCCCCCCCTCCCCCCCCCCTGACCTGTCCCACGGCACAGCGTGATGGACCCACATGACTGAGCCCAAGTGGAGACAGAAAGGTGTTGGCAAAGAAGGTGGGGAGAAGGAAAGGGGTGAAAGGGCCTCAAGACAGGGCACCAGAGAATAAACCCTCCCCCGCTGACCACAGGAGGATCGGCTGTGTCTGCTCTTGGAGTGTCTGTGGACACGCACAGTCCACAGGAACATAATGCATCCACGCGTGTCATTTTCAGTTCCTGGGCAGCCACACTAAAAAAAGGAAAGTGAAACCAGTGCAAGTCGTTCTAATAATATATTCCACTTAACCCAATATACCCAAGGTATTAGCATCATTCAACATGTAATCAATAGGGGGGGAAAGTATTAATGAGATACTTTATATTCTGTTCTGAATGCATGATGAAAAATGATGATGAAAAATCCAAGTATATTTCACCCTTGGAGCACATATCAACTTGGGCCAAACATATTTCAAGCGCTCGATAGTTGTTATTAATTGAATTGTGTCCCTTTTGCAATTCCTGTGTTGAAGACCTAACCTCCAATGTGACCATTAAAGAGGTAATTAAGGTTAAATGAGGTCATAACGTTAGGGCCCTAATCCAATAGGACTGGTGTCCTTACAGGAAGAAGAAGAGGCACCGGGAATATAAATACGCAGAGCCAAGGCCATGTGAGGACGCAGGGAGAAGGTGCCCTCTGCCAGTCAGGGAGAGAGGCCTCGGGGGAAACTAGCTCTACTGACACCTTGATCTTGGGCTTCCAGCCTCCAGTCCTGTGAGAAAAATGTCTGTTCTCTAAGCCACCCAGTCTGCGGTCTTCTATGACAGCCTGATCGCACTAATATAATAGTCAAGGTTGAGAGAGTACTGCAGAGAATGTCCCCAGCTCGAGGGGGCCTATGGGCCTCAGCCTCAGGGTCTCAGATGAAGCCAACCTCCAGGATGGCAGGTGAACAACTCGCTCATCAGGATGGAGAGCAGGGACCCACAGGATTCTTCTGTTATTGTGGACATATTGGCCTTGACAGTGTTCGAAAGCAGGCTGGAGGGCTTTTGAGGCTGATGCCTTGGGGAACTTCATGCCCCAGAGACCGTCAAGAAGTGGGGTCAGGAAGCCAAGACTTGTCTGAGTGAGGGCAGCAAGGACAGAGGGTCCCGTGGCTGAAGGTGAGCTTCCCAACAGGATTTGTACTCAGCTCCACAGTTGTGCCTGGAGACTATTCCGGGTGTCACAAAAAATGATGCAGAGGGAAACTGGGTCAGAGGTGAGGTTCCTAATACAGAACCATCTGCATGTCATGGGCATCAATCAATCAGAACAGATGCTGGCCATGTACAACCATTATGATCATGTCGGTTCTTAACAGCTGAATAGTATCAGCCTTGAGGTGGATGGTTCTACCTAGATCCCCAGCTACAAATACAGGCCAGACTCCCTAGAGCCTGGGAACGGAGAGTTTCCACAACAATCTTTAGAGTAGACAGGGGCTAATAGGAGAGGTACCAGTAGATGCTTTGATCTGTGTTAAGTCCCAGAGACCAAGTCTCGCTTGACCCAGCCCAAGGAGGGCAACAAGCAGTGGTAAGCCAGCTTGTAACCAGAACCGACTGCTAAATTTTCAGGAAATCTGCAAGCCAATTATCAAACACCGCTAGGGTTAAAAAAATAAAATATATAAACTTATAGTCAAATACATGATATCAAAACAAAGGTAATAAAAACTCATTGCTTGCTAATGACTTGATACATTATTCTGTTGTTATCTATGATCTTCAAGTTATCTCTGGTTATAGTATCATCTCTCAAAATCAGTCACAGAGGGCTCGGCCGGTGTGGCTCAGTGGTTGAGCATCAACCCATGCACCCAGAGGTCGCCGGTTCCATTCCCAGTCAGGACACATGCCCAGTGGGGGGCATGCAGAAGGCAGCCAATTGATGTTCTCGCTCATCAGTGTTTCTATCTCTCTCTCCCTCTCCTTTCCCCTCTCTCTCTAAAATCAATAAAGAAAAAACAATCCACCACAAAGGGAATATCTATATCACAGAAATCAGCAAACCTACAAATCAGGGCTTACTTCCCACCCCACCCCTCGCTGAGACATGGCTGTTAAAACATCCCTGGGGACATGCCCCACAAAATAACCAAGGTTGAACTTCCCACTAACCCAGTATAATGGAGTGACTTGATTAAAAGGTGATGAAGACAGTGGATTTTCTGCCATCGGTGAGTCACCAAGCTGACTGTCTCTCCATCTACCAGAGCTCAAGCAAAACCAGCTCGAATTTAACATCCTCATCAAACAGCTTAGCCTGTCCAAGTTCTGGATGTGAAGGAAAATGTGGAAAAAGCCAGGCAGGAAAGCCACCAGCAAGAAAACAAGAAACGACAATGAAATGTTCCACTTGGCCACCCTCCTGGGTCCCACTGACATTTCAGGAACAGACGATTCCCCTTCAAAAGGAAACACCCTGCTTTCCAGCGGGAATCATCTCTTGAAAGAGATGCAAACCCCATGGCCCCATCTCCCAGTATGAAATGAGGCGAAGTATTAGCAAAGAAGATGTCTTTTCCACGTAATGTTTTTTCAGATCCGCTCTGCCTTCTATTAGAATCCAGCCAAACACCTTGACTATCTACTAGACTTTTATTTAATACTTTAGGCCTCTTATAATTCAATCGCACCATCCCTGGTTTCATGGCCAATTTAACATGATGCTAAAAGGAATAAAAATCTAACTGCTCGCCTCTTCGCCTGTTCCACCAGATGTTCGGTGGCACTAAGCAGCCCGGTACGCCCTTAACTCACCGGATTTCTCATGGAAGTTGACAATGGGGCATCTGCGCATGCCCAGTTCTTTGACCGGGTTGACTCTGGAAGCCAACAATGGGGCATCTGCGCATGCCCAGTTCTTTGACCGGGTTGACTGTGGAAGCCAACAATGGGGCATCTGCGCATGCCCAGTTCTTTGACCGGGTTGACTGTGGAAGCCAACAATGTACCTTCCTCCAGAGCTGCCGGTGCTTCTTGCTGGGAGTGTCTTAAGGAAAATAAACAAGTCTGTGGCTAAAACAGCTCAAAAGTTGAACCCGAAGCCATAATTTACCCATGGCAATGTTTAGTTAGGTGCAGAAAATTACAAATAAACAGTGATGAATGAAGACCCCCTCCCCCGATGGACCCCAGCACCTTAACACACTACCAGGTGTTTATGAGGCCTGAGGCTTGGCTTTCTAGCTCCATTTGATAGACAGATGAAGCAAGGCGATTAGAAAGAGCAAAGGTGGGTTTTAGCAAGGAAAGAAAGCTATTTTCTTTGTATGAGGTTAGGCACTTCTCGGCTCCGCCTTCATTTTCTGCGCTCATTCATTTTCTTCAACAAATATGTATTGAGTCCTAGTATCGCCAGGTGTGCACCAGGCATCACTGTGTACACTGGAGACATGGCCGTGAGCAAAACAGATAAAGACTCCTGTGAACGAGAGACAACGATGTGTGTTATAATGGGGCAAAGACACAAACACATTAGCAAGTACATGAAGAGGACTTGGGGGATGGTGGCCATAGACCGTGAAGAATAACACAAGGTGATGTCAGAGCATGTGATGAGGAGAACACTGCTGCAGGAGGCTGTTCCATAAAGGGTGCCTGGGACCTGATACCTGAATGGTGAGAAAGAACCTTTTACATAAAGGTATTGGGGGAAAGAGAGAGAATATTTCAGAGGATGATAGGTGGATGGCGCCAAAGTCGAAAGAAGATGGAAATGTCGGAGAAACAGAAAGAAGGCCGGGGTGGCTGTAGCCAGGAGTGGGGAAGGACACCAATAGGTGAAATTACACAGATGGCAAGGGCTGGACCATACAGGGCCCGTGGCCTCGAAGGCCATGCTGGAAAGTTTGGATTTTAGTCTAAATGCAATGAGAACCCACTGGAGGGATCTGAACGAGAGAAGGCTATAATCTGATTGTGAAAAGATCATTGCACCTGCTGTATAGAGACCAGCTGGAAGGATAAGGTGAGAGCTGACCATTGCTTGGGATCCAGCAAATAGCAGAGAATTGGACGGAAGTGGGTGGGTTCAGGATTTATCTGGAACCACAGGACTAGTTACTGGGTTGGATGTGGGAGATGAGGGAAAAGGCAGCATCAACGTGCTACAATGCCATGTTTTTATC